GGGAGGGGGATCTGGGTTGGGGCAGGGTGGTTGGGGCGTGGGGAGAGGCTCATTGGTGTAGGCTCCGGGCAGCACTTACCTCAAGCAGCTCCCGGAAACAGCGGCATGTCCCTTCTCTGTTGGAGCGCTGGAGGGGGCCATTGGAGCGCATAGGGGCTGGAGGGGGGCCATGCCGCTGCTTCTGGGAGCCGCATGGAGCGGCCCCTGACCCTGCTCCCGACAGAAGCACCGGAGCGGGGCCATGCAGCTGCTTCTGCGTAGAGTGGGTCCCAACCCTGCTCCTCAGCTGGAGCGTCGGAGCGGGGCAGGCCCCAGACCCCGCTTCCCAGGTTGGTGAGCTGGATCTGGCCCGCGGGCATAGTTTGCCCACCCCTGACCTAGAAGATAATAAAGTGATAAGTAACCATTAACATGGATTTGTCAAGAACAAATCATGTCAAACCAACCCAATATATGTCTTTGACAGAGTAACAAGGCTTGTGGATGGGGAGAAGCAGTAGATGTGATATCTGGACTTTAATACAACTTTTGGTATTGTCTCACATGCCCTTCTCATAAGCAAACTAGGGAAATACAGCTTAGATGAACCTGCTATATGGTAGGTGCACAACTGATTGGAAAATCATACTCGGAGAATAGTTATCAATGGTTCGCAGCCATGTTGGAAGGGCATATCGAGTGGGGTCCCACAGGGATCTGTCTTAGGTCTGGTTCTGTTCAATGTTTTTATCAATTATTTGAATAATGGCATAGAGAATACACTTATAAAGTTTGCGGACAATACCAAGCTGGGAGGGGTTGGATGTGCTTTGGAGGACAGGATTAGAATTCAAAATGATCTGGACAAACAAGAAATGATCTGAAGTAAATAGGATGAAATTCAATAAGGACAAGTGCGAAGTACTCCACTTAGGAAGCAATAATCCATTGCACAAATACAAAATGGGAAATGAGCATCTAGGGAGGAATACTGCAGAAAAGGATCTGGGGGTTATAGTGGATCACAAACTAAATAAAAGCCAATAATGTAATACTGTTGCAAAAAAAAACATCATTCTGGGATTTATTAGCAGGAGTGTTGTAAGCAAGACATGAGAAGTAATTCTGCTCTACTCAGCACTTATAAGGCCTCAACTGGAGTATTGTGTCCAGGTCTGGGCACCACACTTTGGGGAAGATGTGGACAAATTGGAGAAAGACTAGTGGAGAGCAACAAAAATGATTAAAGGTCTAGAAAACATGACCCATGAGGAAATACAGGAAAAATTGGGTTTGTTTAGTCTGAAGAGAAGAAGACCTAGGGAGGACATAACAGACTTCAAGTACATAAAAGGTGGTTATAAAGAGGAGGGTGATAAAGTGTTCTCCTTATCCACTGAAGACAGGACAAGAAGTATTGGGCTCAAATTGTAGCAAGGGAGATTTAGGTTAGACTTCAGGTAAAACTTCTTAACTGTCAGGGTGGCTAAGCACTGGAACAAATTACCTAGGGAGGTTGTGGAATTGCCATCATTGCAGGTTTTTAAGAGCAGGTTAGACAAACACCTGTTAGCAATGATCTAGATAATACTTAGTCCTTCCATGAGTGCAGGGGAATAGATTAGACTTTCCAGTCCTATATTTCTATGATTCTATTATTGCGGTTCTGGCTATATGAAAGATGCCTCTCACCAAGCATTACTATGGCCGATGAGATCTGCTGAAACACTCAAGCTAACAGTCCTGATATGTAAACATCAGGGAATTCTAATAGTCCTCAGAGAGTAGTTAACTGCAGAATTCACTTCTCCTGTTGATCTATAGGAGCCTGAGTTTGATGACCCCTAACTTTAAGATATCTTTGCTCAGGGTTTTGGTTGAGGGAGGACTAGGGAACAGGTGCAAGTGTATTTGGAAGAGAGTTTTTGTTGAAATAACGTAACAAGTCTTAAAAGGAGCCAAGGTATAGATGAAGATTCTCAAACCCACGCAGACAATCAGAGAAGCTTTCTGAATTCCATAGTCCTGAAGAAGGCTTATCTTCACATTCCCATTCTGCTTTCCCACAGAGCAGTCCTCTGATTGGCAAATGGATGGCAGCTATTTCGAATCCAATAGTTACCATACAGTTTGGCCTGTGCTCCCAGCCTGTTTTCCAGGATTGTGTTAGTATTATGGAGGCACTGGTCACAGCTCCATTGTTAAGGTTGAGGTGAATTTTGCACTTATCTATGAAATATACAGCATATCCTCCCTAAAATTACAGCATGTATTCTGAGAAGAATGCAGGGGGTGCAAATTGGAGATACAAATTGAAGGAGAGGCAAATTGTGATCTGTGCATGCAAGGGAGAGCAGAGAACAGGAGAAGGGGAAATTGTGGTGTATTTGTGCAGGGGAACATGGAGGCCAGGTGTATTCTCTGGCTGCTTTGTGGTGTTCTAGTGACACAAAGCAGCTTATAACCTGGTCTATTTGGCCAATACACTATGGCTTGTTTATGCTGCTCCAGAGTGGCAGAAAGCAACGAGAGTGTATCAATGAATCTGGTCCTAAAAGTTAAAATTCAAAAAATTATTTAAGGCTGATATTATTTATCTTCCAATCATTAGAGATATCATGGTGCAGTTCTCTGTAGTTCTTCTTCAGTAGGTTCATGTATGACATTTTTAATAATTTTAAAATACGTATATTCCCTACAAAACCCACATTAGGGTGGAGATAAGGTTGAGAGTATGTATCAGTATCTGGATAAAATACCTTATAGGGATCATAGAAGTGTAGGGTTGGAAGGGACCTCAATAGGTCATCTAGTCCAGTCCCTTGCACTCAAGGCAGTACTAATTAATAACTTGACCATTTCTGACAGGTGTTTATCTAACCTGTTCTTAAAAACCTCCAGTGATGGCAATTCCACAACTTCCCTAGACAATGTGGATGTTGTAATTGTATCAGAAACTAGCATTATAAAGCCAGGAAATGAAAAGTGAAGATCACACTTACAAGAAATCCAAATATGTCACTACGGGTCAGAGTTAAGGTTGTTTGGCTGCCGTAACTGTTCATTTCCATACCTTAAAATATTTGGATTTATTTTAAACTGTGATTTTATTGTATTATGGTTGTGTCTAGAACCTTATATAGGTGTCTTATTGTTATGTACATCTAAATTGAATTAACTTGGGTTTATAATGCCTAAGTTACTGATCTGACTTTCAGCCTTAACTCAATCTTAATATTGTTTTGTTTGGGAATTAATAATAGCTTTCAGCAAGAAGGGAATTAATTCCTATCTGGATAATTCTGCTAACCAGAGCTTTGTGCAGAGAGAAAGCTGAAGTAAGAAGGCACTAAGATATGATAAACACAGAAGAAAGCCATACAGAGACAGGGAAGATATCAGAGACCAGGGGTGTGTGTGGTGGGGTGTGACATTTCCTGGGATATCTAGGGTTGTGAGGCACCTCGCTACCACCTGACCTTAGCGTGAGTAAGCCTTGTCTGGCTGGCATGGGTCAGCTTCCCTACTCCACTAGCCAAGGGCAACACAAGCACTTCCCTCTGAGCCTGCATAGGCTCCTCTGTCTCTCTACAGGTTAGTGAAAGGCACGCTCCAAACCCTGAGCTCTTTGAGAGTCCCACTGGAATGTCCAGCCCCTGGTCCACTGGATGTTCACAGTATTCCCAGATCTGCTGCTTCCAAAGAAACAGTACAGCCCCAGCTTACCAGTTACACCTCAGATCACTGCTCCGTTTACTGTTTATAGTGAAATCAGGAATAGGTTTAACAAAATATAGCAATTCAAAGTCATAGCAAGTAGAAGTATTGGGGGAAAAAATGGTTATGTGTAAAATTATAATACATTCTAGAGCGTAGACTTAATTAACAAGAGACTCTCTTGTCTAATAAAGTAGTGCTTACCAAAGCTTTACAGCCAGGCTGGCTGTGACCCCTCTTTCATGAGGCATAACATGCTGTCAGCTTGCCTCCTCGGTAATGGGTCCAGGGTGTTAATTGGTACCCCTAGGTACATCAGAACAATCCTTTGTCCTTATTCATAAACAGGACCTCACCCCCACTGATTGTTTCTTCCTGTGGCTTTCCTCTCTTGTGGATTTCTCAATCTCTCAAATGGCATCAGGGTCAGTATGCAGATAGGCGTACGCTGTAAGGCAGACAAGGAACATATCAGACCGGGAGAGAGGCACCTGTTATCACCTGCCTGAAAAGAACATTCCTGAGGTATGTTACCTCCTGGTGATCTGCCTTAATCCCAAGTCTTTAAGAACATACTTTTCAGTATAGATACATCACTTCTTAATAATTATCTGTACAGGCTTTTCCCACCCTTTGGTGAACTAATGTGCATATAAACCCTGTGAACCTCGTGTGCTCTCCGCCAGTTGGCTCCAAGAGGCCTTGGGTCACATGGAGGTGATAAGGTTACTATCAGGTACAAAGTGTTCTTTTCACAGGAACGTTAACGAAAGATGAAGATTGCCATACAAAGAACAAGAAGGTACCACAGAAATAAAATCCAGTCTCTATTGGAGCCTAGTAGGAATGTTGATCTTATGCCCAGATCTGCTCAAATTGGACCATAGTTCATGGGACTTTGACTACTGCCAATCGTCTGTTCTGCAGGGCCTCCACACTGTGGAGAATCAGACTTGTGGCTATGATAGCATGCCTGCTGCAGTTTGGATAAATAAAGTGCGGCAATATGAACAACCCTACACCAGCGAGAGGCTTAGAGCAGAGCAAGATTCCCTCTCTATGTACTGCTCATCAAGGAGAAGATGAACCCCAGAGTTCACTGGTTTACAGGCAGAAGTTAGATTAAGCAGAGTAGACCCCAGCAAGTAAGTGTGGTAAGTTTGGGGAGGATATGCTGTATTCATATATAATACAAAATGTTGAATCCCAGCTTTAAGTGCAAGGCTCAGCTCCACCATATCTATTGAGATATGACCAGCACCTCCGTAATTAGTAGGGTTACATCCTAATCTTGGATGTGCGCATGTTACTGTGTATGCTCAGAGAAACCATAACTGTAAACATCTGTGGACTCACAGGGGCAGGTTTTTGAGCCATGGTCAGTGTATGCCAGATTCAAGACTCAGTTTATAAAAACAGAGATTTTTTTAAAAGCTCCTGAACACCTTTTTATCTCTTCCTGACAAAGTCTGGCCATTTAGCAGCCTTGGTTTAATTCTCCGACTTAAGTCATTGATTTACACTGCTACACAGTTATCCTGATGTGCTATCAGGTTCCTGGTTGTCCCCGTTGGTGAATATTTATATATTGTTGCCCATGGGCAAGACAGTGGTTGATTCTAGGGCCTTGCAAGAGGTGGAAAGAAACTGATGTAATGGAGTCAGTTCTGGCGTAACCTGTTTATTTACACCATATTTTTATTGACACAATGCACGGGAGCCCTCTTACTCTTAATCTGAGAGAGATTCACCTACACATAGGCAGCTCCAGAATTCTCAGCTCAGTCACCCTGAGATGCTACCTGAAACAGCTGCCTCCATCACTGACTCTTCAGGTCTCCAACCATCCTCTTAACTACCCCAGACCTTCCCCACGTGGCTGCCCTGTAGCCCCCCAAGCAGGATCCAGAATAGCAGCAGCAGCTTCATCCTCGGCAGATTCATCACACTGATCTACTCCTGGCTGGAAGATTCATTATAATAGCACTGAGGCTCCTATTGTGCTGATCTCTGGTATGTATATTGCTTTGTAGTTTTTCTTTTTTTAAATCCAGAAGATGTGTTGGGGGTTTTGTATGTGTGTGTGGGTTTTTTTGTTTGGTTTTTGGGGGCTGGAGTGGCAGGGTGTTCATGGTTGTATGAGCATGACCATGGTGAGTATAGCCACGCAAAAGACGTGTAATTACCACTGAGGTATTTTAAAGTTTGTGGACCAACTTTAGATTAAACTGATTTTTAAAGGCACTCCCCGCTCCTCCTTCTCTCTCTGTCCCCCCAACCTCCTATGGTGTCACTACAGGGCTGAGTTAAAGTTTTTGCTAAGGATAAACTTTTAGTTATGAAGACTAATAATGGGGAAATTTATCATTAATCTTAAAAACTATGTATTCAAAGATTGCCTATGCAATGAGTTTCAATTACACCTCTACCTCGATATAACACTGTCCTCGGGAGCCAAAAAATCTTACCGCGTTATAGGTGAAACCGCGTTATATTGAACTTGCTTTGATCCACTGGAGTGCGCAGCCCCGGCCCCCCAGAGCACTACTTTACCGTGTTATATCCGAATTCCTGTTATATCGGGGTAGTGGTGTATTATGAAATTTTGAAGGGTCTCTGACAGGGCAGAGTTAAGGTTGCTTTGGTGTCCTGTGTGCATTTTTATTCCTGATCATTTTTGGATTTTTCTTAAGTTTAACCTGATCTCTGAATTTCCTGGATTTATAATGCTTAGTTTTGGGATAATTACAACATCCCTGTATTTACCCTAAATTACTGCTAAGTATTCTAAACTTTAACTCCATCTTAAGGTAATTTTTCTCAAATAATTTTACTAAATAATGCATGTACATTTTGAGGAGTCTGCTTGCTGTGATTTTTAACCAAAAGGGTGCCCCCAAAAAGGTGAGACATGCTGCCTGAAAAAATGTGATTTAAAAAAAAAATGCTGTAATTTAAAAACTATAACTTTTGAACCCAAAAGTATTTTTGAAAATACAAGCATGCTAAGATTTATATTTCCAAATATTTTTCAAAAATGATTGAAGACTGAACAGATAGAAAAGTTTACAAAAGTCCGATTAAAAGGAAAATTATGGGGCAATGTTATTTATTAACTTACTCTCATGTTTCCAAAATAATCATAGCAGTGAGATACAATTACTAATTTTCTTCCAGTGTAACCTGTGGCCAAGATTTTAATGAGTTTGAATTATGTGGTAACTTGGAAAACTGTTTGTTTTATTCCATCATTAATTTTAGGACAAGAAATGGTCTGGCACCAAATGCAAAATTTCTTAAAGCACCCATTTTGAATGAATGTGAACTCTTAAACTAATAAAGAATTACTTATAAATTCTCAGACAATTCATTCTATACTCTATTCATAGTTTTCATAGAGTGCAAGGCTGGAAGAAACCATTAGATCACATAGTCTTACCTGTATATCACAGGCCATTAAATTTCACCCAGTTATCCCAATAACTTGTGTTTGACTAAAGCATATTTGCCAAAAAGACATCAAGTCTTGAAGACATCAAGAGATAGAGAATCCACCACTGACCTCGGTAGTTTGTTCTAATTGCTAATTACCCTCACTGTTTAAAAAAATTAAAATTATGCCTGATTTCTCTTTTGTCCCTAAATTCTAATTAAAAGTAACTTCTCTAATTTTGGGGAGGATACATTGCATCACACCCCATGTCATGCCCACCCAGTTACTGATCATGAAAAACCATGAAGGCTCAAGGTGGCTGATCCACCTCAGCATCTGGCAGACCTCTGCAGTAAAAATTGTTTTGTGAAAAAGAAGTAGCTGTGTGATCAAAAAGTCAGCAAGGTTCAGAGGTAGTACATTGTATTCTTCCTGCGTAACAAAGAGGTTGCCTTATGTGCAAAACTCATGACTGGCATTTCCATAAAAAAGTATAAAACACTGAATTTAATCTCTGGCCCCAGTCACTTATGTTACTCCAGGGTTGATACCATGTCACATGACAAGGCTAAATGTCTTTTTAAAAAAATGCAGATAAAACTTTTTCAACCAAACCAATAACTAACTAATCTAGCCAGTTATTTAAAATACACAAATTGAGATGTCTAGGACGGAGGCCAGGATAGACGACCTGAACCTGTTTGTCAGATGAGAGGATTATTCTGACTCTAAGGGCTGGTCTACACTGGAGGGGTGGGGGGGAGATCGATCTAAGATACGCAACTTCAGCTACGTGAATAGCGTAGCTGAAGTCGAAGTATCTTAGATCGATTTACCTTGGGTCCTCACGGCATGGGATCGACGGCCGCGGCTCCCCCGTCGACTCCGCTACCGCCGCTCGCTCCGGTGGAGTTCCGGAGTTGACGGGGAGCGTGTTCGGGGAGCGATGTATCGCTCCCCGATAAATCAATCACTACCCTTGAGCCTTCGTGGTTTTTCATGATCAGTAACTGGGTGGGCAGGACATGGGGTGTGATGCAATCAATTGTGGTCACTGTGACTAGCACAAAGGTCCTTAGTTGGCTATGCATGTTTGATGATGGTGAGCATGTGTTCCTTCTGTCAGTGTAAGAGCACTGTCTGTGCACTCTGGATGCCACCAAGACAGAGGACTAGTATCCTCCTTTGTTCTGTTCCACCTATAGGACTGACTCTCACCTCAGGGTGGTTATAATGTAACCTTTTAAAGGGTCCACTGTTTCAAGATGATGCCTCACCTGGGTTTTCTCTGAACTTTGTGACTGGTGCCTAACTGAGATTGGGGGTGGGGTCAGAAGAGGCTGCTGAACAGCCATTCTGAGAGATTATTTCAGACTCAACCCAGAGGGCAGAGGGGGTGGGGCTGTTTCAGGACAGCAGCCCTATGGAACTTGGGGTGCTGGGAGTGCAGGAGCACCCCCTGGTTTGAAGTAGTAATAACCAAATACATGGTTTCTGCTTTCAGCACCCCCGCTATAAAAATTGTTCCAGCACCCCTGACTGTATCTGAATTTGTTTACATTCATATTGGTGTGCATGAGATGCTATTTTCCCCTGAACAGTTTTTACTGCACATATGACAAGAATATGGTTAACTGTTTTCCTCCTCTTTTCTTTCCAGTGATAAATCTGAACAGAGGTGGTGATATAGCTGTATAATAATATGCAGTGGTTACAGAACTGTACAGTAGGGGTAAGTCTCTATTGTTTATTTTGCAATAATCAACTGTAGTTTCCCGCTCCCTTTTGAACTGGTCTGAGTTCTGTTTCAGAGTAGCAGCCGTGTTAGTCTGTATCCGCAAAAAGAAGAACAGGAGGACTTGTGGCACCTTAGAGACTAACAAATTTCTGAGTTCTGTGTTGCTCTTGCTGGGACTTGCTCCTTTATGAGCTTTACTCTGATCAGGGTCAGGTATTCAGCCTGTGGTGGCCCTGTTGCAATGCATCCCTGTTGTCAGGGTTGCATTTCTGGCTAGGGTTAAGCTAAGGACTCATATCCATTTAATAACATTTCAAATGCTTAGCAAAGCCAAAGGTGCGCCATTGTGTAAGAGCGACAATTGACAGTACCTCCTTTATTGTGTGTATTACTTCTGCCCCAAAAGTTTGTGTTGGTGGACATAAGCATATGGCATGAAAATAAAAGGAATCTTCTAATTTACACTTATTGCAAATGCTCTTTTTGACATATTGTCTCGTAGTTTAGGAGAAATAAAGCTCCTAAGGCCTATAAAGATCCCGGGAGGAGGCTGAAGTTGATTCCTTTGTCCCCCTTCCTTATTAAAAGGCACGCTTTTAAAAAAAATCACTGCAAGTTTACGTTTTTAGAAATTTCACCAAAATAGTGAGATTGACTTGTATAACAATATATATTCATGGTTTTTAAGAATATACTTTCCTGAGATGAAAGCAAGACCCCAAATCGCCATAGCATAATTGCCTCTTAATCTGAATAACTATTTGAGATTTGAAGATGTGTAAATGACAAAATCCTTCTCGGGTCATCCCAAGTGACTGTCCCTGTGACTGTTAAACTGTTCTGAAGTTGCTGGCACAAGCCACTCCCTGCCCCCTAAGCGTTATTTCTGCACAGTATAGTGCCACATGTCATACCTCGACTCCACCATCATAGAAACGCCAGCGCTCAGTGTTATCAGGCTTATGAAAACATTGTGAGTTCCAGTGTTATCCCAACAACTTTATTACTAATGACAGGACCTTTACTTACTTAAACTCAGCTTTTTTATGCAAACAATGTTCAGGTCCTCTATTAAACTAATCAATATTTGAAACATCATTTTAAATATTGTTACATTCTAGCTACATGGAAAAGAACTCCTGGCCCTCCTGCACCCATCCCTTCGCTAGTTCCCCCCCATCCACTCCCCACAGGCAAATGTTTGGTGTAGTAGTTGGTTGTGTCGGGATAACAGACCATATAAACTTCCTTATGGACAGGCAGACAACACCAAATGATGCAGGAATTCTAGACCATG